TCAAGCTGGTGCTCATGTCGGCCACCATCAACATCCAGCTCTTCGCGGACTACTTCGGCGGCGCCCCCGTGATCCAGGTCCCCGGGCGGCTCTTCCCCATCAGGGTGAGCCGCCTCCCGCGAGGCTCTGCCTGGCGCGCGCGGACGGGTTTGCGCGTGAGGGACTTTTCATGAAGGGGGGCGCTGGCGGCGCGCTCCGCCTTTGTGCTCCTTGAGCCCTCGGGGGCTTTCGATCCTGCGGACCATGGTAGCCTTCTGAGCCGGCTCCGTGGGGCGGCGGCGGGGCGGCACGGTCTTTGGGCGGCTCCCTTCCCTTCCCTTCCCTTCCCTGGGGCCGGCTTCGGTCGGCGTTGGTTGGGGGGAGAAACCACTCGCTCGGTGTGCTCTCCCCTCCTGTTCAGCATCGACAGGAAGCCACCGGTTTCGGATTCGGTATCGCGGACATGCTGATGTAGCCCAATTACATCTTTTGACCCGGCTGAGTGAGGCCGTTGAGGTTCTGCCCCAGTGCCTGCAGGCTGTGTGGGTTTGGATGGGGGGAACCGTCTCCGACTCAAACCTGCGAAGACTGAGTGGCTGTGGGTGTTTGGGTCACCCAGATCTGGGGATGTTCTGTCTAACCTCGGATGGGGCCGCACTTCCCCATTCAAGAGTGGTGCACCATCTAGGGGTCTTCTTGGATTCACAGTTCCTGCTCGCTTAGCAACTGTGGCCAGGAAGGAAGACCAGGTGGCCCAACACCACCTCCTGCCTCATGCAGGTCCTCTATGAACCCATCCGCCCTGAGGAAAGCACCAGTGGGCGCAGGGAGCGACTGAACGTCCGGCCCTTCCTGCGTGTGCTCCAGGCCATCGACCACAAGTATCCGCCGGAGGAGAGGGGAGACCTGCTCATCTTCCTCAGCGGTGTGGCTGAGATTGGGGTGGTTATGGAGGCTGTGCAGTCTTATGCAGCCTTCACCAAGCGCTGGGTGGTCCTTCCTCTGCACAGCACCCTCTCTGTGGCTGAGCAGGACAAGGTGAGTTGGGCAGGGATGGAGAGGCGAACGCCATCCTTCCTCTTACAAAGGTGGGAGGGTCTTCTTGTTATGGAGAGGAGTGACATGTTAATTCCAGGGCAGTGATGTCACCACATGGGGTATGGCTGGAGCTTTGGGCCCTTTCACTTCTTAGGGGTTTGCTTTCAGCTTGTTGGTGTCCTGCCATCTTTGGTACGTTTTTCATGAAAAGTGGAGAAATCTTGCCTGAAGAATAGGGACCAGGGGTCCACCTGGTATTTGTGCTGCCCACCCGCCCAGGACTAGAATGAGTAGCTTTCGTAAGGCTGGGCGAGTCGGACTTTTTTGCACTTGCAGCTAATGGCAGCTTTCCAGGCTCCTATCGCAGTTGTTAGTTTGCTTTCTCTGGCCAAAGAGATGGGACTTACTTTTTTTTGAAAAACAGAATCGGTTAATGGTGGTTGTCCTTCTCGCTCATCAGGTCTTTGACATCACTCCACCGGGAGTCCGGAAATGCATAATTTCCACCAACATTGCCGAGACTTCAGTGACCATTGACGGGGTCCGATTTGTTGTGGACGCTGGTGAGAGTCCTCCCCCCTGCCCCCTCCTGTTGTAGAGAGTGGTCTGCCCGTGGATTTGGCAGATGGAGGGGAGCTGAGAGAGGCCTTTTTTCACCCAGGAAGCAAACCCTGGTGTAGAAAAGCCATTGAGATGACCTCGAAGGGAATATTCAGACGCCATTACAGAAGCAACCAGGGCAGAAGCGTGCCTTGAGCCCTGGGAAAGGAGGTGGAGTTAGGAGGAGGCTCAGGCGGGCCTTTCCCTGGCTCCCTGGGGCGTGAGAGGGAGGGGAGGAAAAACCCAAGCAGACTGGCGAGGTCCTGTTCTTGGGGCCTCCCGGTGTCCCTGTGGAGTCGGTATCTTGACCTGGTCCAGCACGTAGGGTTGACCTCAGTCTTGCAGGACTGCTGGTGTTGTTTCTCCTTCCCAGGACTCGAGGCTTGCTTCTGCCCTGGCTGCTTCTGTAAAGCTGCTGAATATTCTCTTCAAGGCCTCCTCCGTAGCTCGGTACCCCTGTGAGGTTGGATGTAGGGGCCAAGCTGGGGCCAGTGTGGATGGTGGAGTCAGCATTAAGCAACATGGGCTATTTTGTGCTATTCCTTCTGTCCTTTCCTGGGAATGGCACAAAATAAAATGGTAATGGTGGTGGTGATAATGATTTATTGCCTGCCTTTCCCAAGACACAGTAATTTCAGGGAAACACTGCAATTATATAATTACTGTAGCAGTCTGCATAGCAGACCACCTTGCCTCTGAAGATGCCAGCCACAGTTGCCGGCAAAATGTCAGGGTATCTGTTGCCTAATCCACGGTCACTAGATCATGAAACCCAGCGGTGTGCAACAGATGCTGGCTGTGAAAGCTTAACTATTAATGAAATTGGTTCATCATGTCCAGCGGACACGAAATGCTGATCCTAAAATTAACCAAACACAAGAACCCTGCATACTTTAAAATAACAAAATCCCATGATATGACCAAGCTTGCAGACATCATCATTGAAGCTTGTATTCAACAAAGCAGTAAGAATTGTCAAGATTAAGGAGAGTAGAGCAGATGACCAGACCCTCCATGAACCCACTAGTCCACTCAGAAGGTCTTGAAGCCCTGGTCATCAAGCTGTTGCACAGGTAATTCAGTTGGATGAGGCAGGTCCCTGAAAGCACAACCTAGAGTGAAGGACAGAAAGAAGGTCCTCCTCAGAGGAATATAAGGAGCAAGCAGGACAGATAAATACTGGGGTGTATGAGACCAGAGGGCTCTCAATGCAAGCACCAGGGTTTACCCTAAACTGGTTAACTACCAATCCCATGAAGAGCCCTGCAGTGTAACGAGACCTGAGAAGAGAAGAGAAGAGAAGGTCCAGAACAGCTTGAATGGCAGTGAACTAAGATCAGGGAACTCTGGAACCCTTGTCAAGGGGCAGTTGCAATAATCCGTATATGAAACAACCCATGTCTCTGCCAGTGAAGCCACGCTCTCTGTTGTCAGAACCCCCTGAGTTCTGTGAATGTCCCTCAAATGAAACTCAGCAACTCCCACTGTAAAATTAGTAAATGGATACAAAGTCAGCTGATCATAAAGCAAGACCCCCAAGGCTGCGAGTGGAGGAAACTATGGCAACCCCTGAGCCCTGGAAACAGGGCAGGAGAGGATGGGAAGGGCAATGATCTTTGGGTGCTGGGAGGACCTCCAAGAGGAAACGGTGCAGAGCATTCTGCCATGATTGATCACAGATCATCAAGGATCACAGAAGACTGATAGACCAGTGTAAAAATAATAATACTGAAAGTCCTGATTGGTGTGCTTGAGGGAAGAGTAGAAAGACTAAAAAATAGCACGGACAATGACGTCCAGGAACATAGCCTAGACCAGTGATTCTCAACCTTTTTGAAGCTGCCGCCCCCCTAGGGAGCGGAAAATTTTTCAACGCCACCCTTTGT